CTATTCTATTTGATTCTTTTTTTTTCAGTTATTTTATTAAACAGAAAACTTTAACCATGGCCTTGCATCCCCGAGAAATAAGTTCTGTGACTCTAAGTGAACTTCAACAGCTTAAGTTTTCACAACTGTCTCTCCGTAAGAAAGTTGCAGTTAAGAAAAGAGGTCGTTTAACACCTGATATTCTAATATCTCAGCCAGGCATAAGCAAGAACAAGAAATATATTCGTAGCTTTAATTCTGAATGGTACAAACGGAAAAGTTGGCTTTGCGGCTGTGAAGTAAAAAATGCACTGTTTTGCTTCCCCTGTTTGCTGTTTGGGGGTGATGTAACGTGGACAAAAGATGGTTTTAGAAATATAAACAAAATGAAAGAAAAAACTGAAAAGCATGAGAAGTCATAGAAGCATGCTGATAATGTAGTTTCACTGTCACTTTTAGGAACCGTAAGTATTAAGGAGAAACTTAGTGAGGCATACAGACTTTCAATCAATGAGCATAATATAAAGGTTAAAAAGAATGGATTTGATTTTTAAATGAATAGATTAAGCTTGAACTGTAACAATTTAGGTTAAAGTAAGTAAAAAATGTTTGATTTTGTTCTTTTACGATTTCATCAAGTTTCTGAATAAATTTTCTTTTTATACATGTTTGTTTCCTTTTATACAATTTTAATACAAAGACTACAAATTTTCTGGAGCAGCACCCCCACTCAATTTAGCTACGAGCCGCCATTGGACGTCATCATAGAAAAGTACACTGAATCTCCAGGCTTATATTACGATGCAGGTACCGCACAGCTGTACAATCCGGAGTGGAAGGTTTCACGTATGTAAATCTGGAAGAGGGTAATCAAAATTTGGAAATGGTAAAGAAATATGTTAGTTTATCGATACATTTTTGCAAGGAGTACGAGCATGTGTTCTGGATCAATTACTCTGTCTATGAAAACCATGAGGTATTCGGATAGACTGACTGAGGAAGTAGAAAACATGAACTACTTGTAAAATAGTTAACCAGAATCGACGAAGAAGCGATTCATTTGCGTTTTAAATCTATTGGTGGAATTAGCAAAATCTTGTTCCTTACTATGGACAGTGAAGATGCATCATATCACACAGACAAAATTTCGGACTTAGAGGGAGAACAGGCTAATTTTTTTAAACGTTCCGAAGAACATATAACAGTGGGTAACATCGACATTAAGATCTATGAATACGACATTACAGGGCGTATATGCGAACGAGAGGACACTATCAAAAGGGCTGGAGAACATGGCCAGACACGTTACTGAACACGACGGTGAGATAAAGGGAATGTTTACTTCTACCTCCATGCTGCTTGTTGTAAACGAACATTCGGCGCAACTAGATCGAGGTTTGGGCGAATGTAGACGGGATTAGGAAATTGTAATTGAAGCCATTATAAAGGCTCAGAAGGCTTGACATGTGGCTCCAGCCACATGTCAATACATAGCGCAGATTTTGAATCAGATGACATAAATGAAGCTGACATCTCGAGTGACTTGACACTGCCAATTCCGTTGAGTGCAGCCTACCATAACTTAAGAAAGCAGTCTTCTGGGATTTGGCACCGTGTATATGTGGTGTTAACCGACGTTTCGGAGGAACGTATCGCCCCCATCTTCAGGGTTGAAGAAAAAGTATAAGTAAATCTGCAAGCGACAACACCGTGAGACACGGTCTCACGGTGTTGTCGCTTGCAGATTTACTTATACTTTTTCTTCAACCCTGAAGATGGGGGCGATACGTTCCTCCGAAACGTCGGTTAACACCACATATACACGGTGCCAAATCCCAGAAGACTGCTTTCTTCATAGTCACCGCCGTGAAAGCCTCAAATCTTACATACCATAACTTACTTTGAGAATTAGTGAAGTTTATGTATTTTTGAAGGGCAATTATTTTGTTTATGTGATTAGATAAGATAGGGAATACCAAGTTTAAATTTACATTTACAGGGCCAGAACATGTCTACTTGTTAATGAATATAGCTAAGCAGTTTTATGCTAGGTTAAGGGTAGACAAATTTAAGGAACATAAACTGATAACAGCCATCAACTGTGCAAACAAAAGTACCCTGTGCAAGTAAAGCATTTAGATGAAGAGCGTAAAGCCTAACTGCTTCAGTCCATTGGAAGCATACCTAGCAGTTGCTCTCAGAGAATAGTACCACTAAACCAAACACTGTGGATCCAGTTAAATGTTGTGTTGCTCCACGAGTGGATACACTCACTGTGCTGTGTTCGGGCCAGGAACCTACGGATGTTGAAGTACAAGGCACAGGAAAGCTCAAGTTGCACAGCATGTAAAAGGGCTGAGGGAGCAAGGTTCCCATTGAGGCCCAGGTAACCATAACCTCCAACAATACAGGCAAGGACATTATGTCGCCCCTATCCCTTCAGTGTAACTGTTGCTTGCCTGAAGAAAGAAATAATAAAGCCAACAAAAAACATTTGGATTTACCGATAAAAGTTGTGGTCATCTTCACGACTTAAAATTAGCAAGTGATAGTAGAGGAAGGAGACAAACTCATATCTTAGCAAGAACTAAAACTGAAACACTCCAAAATAGATTATCATATGTCCTTTCTGTCCTAAGTAGGAATGATTACGACGATGTACATGTTTAATTTTGTTACTGTTGCTGCAGATGTTTCCCTAGATGCACTAAAGTTAAGTTGACAAAGTTCAAAAGCTACCCATGTAACAGGCCATGGAGGCCCATAGGGTTGTGCGACGTCGACGCTCCCACCTTTTGTGTAGACAATCGGCACACAGATGGGAGTGAGCTAGTCAGACTTACTCGCCGGCCCCCCTTCCCCCCCCCCCCCAGGAAAATGCATGGTACTCATTTCTGCTAGAGGCTGAGTCAACCCCAGGGTGACAGTGCGGCTGGAAATATTAGGTAAATTGAAATAATCCAATTACCTATGTAACCGCTCCACTGTCGTTCACTACTTTTAGGTATAATTAGAATATTTAGTATAAGAATTAATTGCAGATAGCAGGCAGTCAAGCCAGTGGGATATAGTCACTTTCTTGTTTGCAGGAACTGACTTGTTCCCAGTCTTCCTGTTACACAAGAAGCACCCCTGTGGCTTTTTCTTAGAAATCTTGTGTGAACTCCTAGATTTCAAAATTACCCAATCAGTGGAATTAAGGGGGAGTGACTTAGCTGAGGAACTGACCACCGGTAACCTCAGGGTTTTCAGGGAATTCAGTTGCCGAGTTCAGTTGTCTGTCAAACTGAGCACTCAAAGCGTGGTAATTTCTGAATACAACCGCAGAGAGGAGCTGCACAATAAATAAAAGCAAGACAAGCTAATTAAGCAGCAAGAATGCTTAAAGTCCCGCCAACTGTATAATGGCAAGAACAGTTATAATTATAAACCCAGATTTTAATGAGAACCAACCAAATACACCCGAGGGGTGGAGTAACTGTTAGCTTTTGAAAGAGAGATGGCGTTAAACCCAGCTACTTCGAGAAGCAAGCCAACTATCCACAACGTGTGAGACAGCAAGCTAACTACCGATAGCGTGTGGAGCAGCAAACCAACTACCCACAACGTGTGGAGCAGCAAGCCAACAACCCACAATGTGTGGAGCACCAAGCCAACTACCCACAATGTGTGGGACAACAAGCAAACTACCCACAGCGTGTGGAGCAGCAAACCAGCTACCCACGTATGGAGAAGCAAGCCAACTACCCACAGCGTGTGGAGCAACAAACCAACTACAAACGTGTGGAGCAGCAAGCAAACTACCCACAGCGTGTGGAGCAGCAAACCAACTACCCATGTGTGGAGCAGCAAGCCAACTACCCACAGAGTGTGGAGCAGCAAGCCAACTACCCACAACGTGTGGAGCAGCAAGCCAACTACCCACAACATGTGGGACAACTTGGGATGCAGGTAATGTATAAGAAGCGTGTAAAACTTCACATGGTAATCTCACCGGAAGGTTTACCATTTTGTAATAAACAGGAATACAACGCGTGACGGATCAAGGAGTCAAACCAGTGCTCAGTTTAGTTATGGAGATGAACATTTTCCTTCGTAAAATATTTTGAGCAGCTTATGACTGCTGGTTCCAGCTAAGTAAATTAGGAAGGGACAATAACATATACTTAGGTTTGAGTTTGGTGTGGTTTTGGAATTTATTATAGTATTTCCTATAAGTCTAATTCCGAGAATAACGGCCGTGGAAATCCGTCGCGCTGACTACGTGACAGCCCTTATCCGCAAGTGTTGGCACTAACTTCCCCGACAAGAGGCGGTCGCTCTGTCGGTATAGCTCGATTGCGGCAGGCCACGGAGTTATTACATATACGTGAAAAAGGTCGCCCAGTTGGCGGTGAACATGTATGTGTGTAACAGCGAATTATAAAGTGTAAATCAACGAAACCACTCTACTAATTGTAATTAAGATAACTAGTAACCAAACTGCTAAGGAATCCAATCATCCAACTAGAACCTGTTATTTTCGTCAAGCGTACTACCCGACACGTGACAATATAATATATAGGTTAAAATATGTCTTTCAACAAGGCAATTACAGCAACATTTAAACTAATTATCAACTCATAATCGGTTCTTGCCTTCTCATCTCGATCAACGGCACACATCCACAGCAGTTGTTACAGCGTCATTTGCATGAGAATCAAACCCACCAAGTGCTTCTTTCTATCAATTGTATTGACTTTCAGAGTTCACATATGAACCATTCATACATAATAAGGAACTCCCCTTCCAACTTGACTATATTTTCCATTACTTAATTTAACATAGTGCAAAACAAAGAACTGCCAATATACATGATTAAGCTTTCAAACACAGCCACATGAAATGTGAAGTCAGTCCGGTTTTAATGTGAGCAGACGTTTAGGTCTGTACTAAGCCATAAATAAATATTTCTAAACCATTCTGAAACCCACAGCTACATTAAAGTAAGCTTACATTGAAAATAATGACGATAATGACGGCACGAACAACAAAAGAAATAGGCTAATAATAACGGCATGAACTATAGGAGGATAGTCTATAGACTTAGTGAATTTAAGTGGGCCAAATTTCATAAAAGTCTGCAACGTGATGATTCTGGAATTGTACTTACCAAAGAGACGCCCTTGTCAGAGATCTGATTTGGCTGTGAACAGAAATAAATGTCTGTTAATAGTCTTGAGTTACTGCAAGATTTACAAGATAACTGTAATTATATATACATATATATAGTACATATTTATGTGTGTGTGGAGGAGGTCATTGGACCAAATTAACGCAGATCCTAAAGGAAACATGTATGGACTGGCATGAAAGAAGATTGACTAGTAAATTGTACATGGATCAGAAAGTTAAGAGTGCGACTGGACAGATGGGAGACAAGAAGTGTGAAGACTGGAAGAGGAGTTCGACAAGAATGCTGTTTATCACCAATTTTGTTCAACTTGTACAGCAAATGCCTTACCAAGGAAGCTCTGGATGGGCTTGGAGACTTCAAATTAGGAGGACTTGGACCTGATTATGCGAGAAATGAAGAAGTGTTATTTAGAGTCAGTGAGCAGAGTAATATCTTACTCGAAATAAGAAAATGGAAGGCTAATTGGATTGGTCATATCTTACGCAGAAACTGCCTTCGAAAAGAAGTTATTGAAGGAAAGATAGAGGGGCGGTTAGAAGTGACGAGAAGACGAGGAAGAAGACATAAGATGATGCTGGATGACCTTGGGGACAGAAGAGGATATTCTCATTTGAAGGAGAAAGCTCTATCTAGATCGCATTAAGTTGAGGAAGTGTTTTGGAAGAGACTGTGGACCTGTCGTGTTGACAGATTACTGATGAATATCATCTCTCCGTTAATATAAAAAATTCCTAATCTCTCTACATATACAGAGTGTCCCAGGAGGAATGTGCTCGACTTCGGGAGGGTATTCCTTATGTTAAAGTATGCCGATATAACCCAGAACACCTATGTCCAGAGTTGAACGTTACGGAGATAATGGCCCGAGAAAAGTGTGGTCTTCTGGCGGGTCCACGCACGATACCTGTAGCTGACAAGTCTTATCGATGTTTGTCTTTGAGTGTGGTGAGAACGGCCCACACTAGCAGCATACACTCGGATACCAGAATGCGCAGCCAGCCATGTTACGTCAGTGCTTGCCATTCATGTGTCATGTACAGTGCTTGGAAACATATAAGGACAACTATGACATGGCGTGCGAGCTTTTTGTAGTTCAATTTAATGGCTTCATGTCACTCAAGTCATTTTGATGTTACGTACATTATTAACATTACAGAAACAACATATTCCTGCCAGTTTTAATATGTATTAGGTAATCAACAAGTGTGTAACACCTGTCAAAGTTTCACACTTCTCTGGCCATTATCTCCATAACCATTCAACTCTGGACATACGTGTTTTGGGTTATATCGGCATACTTTAACATAAGGAATACCCTCCTGAAGTCGAGCACATTCCTCCTGGGACACCCTGTATATAATTAGGCCCATTGCCTACAGACAGTGATGCTTAATAAGTAAAGAATCAGTCGTAAAGGAACTTACCAGAAATAAATATCCACCTAGTAGAAGGAGTGTAACCACTCCTACAAGTAGCAATCGCCACTTCTGGAACACAAACCAATAAGAGAGATATATAAGAATTAATTCTACTGGGAACTCATCTACTGATCAAGTGACAGTTTCTCGAAGACACATTTCTATACATGGCAATTTATTATTTTCCAAATCCCTTCAAGGAAATTTCAAGAAATCACTCTCAGAAAACATTTCAATACATCTGTTGTGCGCTGAGCAACATCTCTCTGGTAGCTCCTAAAAGTATTTAAACATCTCTTAATTTAACTTAACGTACAGCAACCAGTTTCCATTTGCATGCTTCCTTCCTGACGCCAACACACACGCTTCCGCACGCTCACTCCTAGCAACCGTCCTGCTGCTCCCTGGCGAGCACAGGCACCACCATGCCACAACCCACGAGGTTCCGCCCTCAAGCGGCCACGGCTCCAACTACTTAGAATGGCTACTACTCAACAACATCATTTAGACAAAATTGTTATTGCTTTGTAGTGAGCTACTTAGAGACTAGCTAGAGGCTAAGCATAAATTACTGCGTGTCTGAAACTTACGTTCACTGTGCCCCCAACACACAAAAAGCGTTTGAGTGTCCTGAACACTGAAAAATAATACATAAAACAACATGAGAATGCTATACAAATGCACATTCACACTCCAAATATCTCACTTATTACAGTAATGCCAATGTCTTCTCTTTAAGAGAGCAGGGCAAGCCCAGGTAATTTCACAGCATGGCAATAAAACCTACAGTGTTATTTCACTGCCTGTTTAGATCAGTGCAATCAAAATTTCATATACTGGCTCATGAATACACAAAGAAAATTGAGGCCTTTACTTCACAAAAGCTAGCGAAAATTCACTAAATTACAGAGTAGCTCTGTAGCAGATAATGGATTGAGAACTGGTAGGAGAAACTGGAGCTCACAGAGAAAACCCGATCCAGTGCCACTTTGTCCGTCACAAATATTAAGAGACATTATCTGGAATGGAACCCAGTGCAACACGATGGGTGAATTGACTAACCAACTGAGCTATGCCACAGACTACTGTAACCATATTTAATATCAAATTTTGTATGGTAGCAACTGTGGATCCAATGTGATGACGCCTAGAATTACAGTATAAACAGTGTGCATTCATCTACTGATGGTCTCACTGATGAAAGGGGATATCGTATCTGTGGGTTTTGAATCACACACAACATGTTACACTTTAAATGTAACTAGACTATTGGGACGTGAAATTCGCCAGTTCAATGGAAAGTCACGCAGATCACCTGGTTCCAGAATCTGGAAGACCGCGACTGAAGCCAGCTCATATAGACCTTTGGGCCTACTCCCAGTAATGAGCAAAATCTTCGAAAAAGCAGTACTCAAGAGATTACGCCAGGAAGTACAGGAAACCCGACTCCTCCCAGACAGAAACACTCTATCATAGAACAAGTACTCCGAAATGCACAGATAATAAGATGAACTGTACTGCTCTGCGGTGTTCCCAGACCTCACACAAGTGCATGATAAACTATGGCACCCAGGCCTCTTGTTCAGAATCAGAGAAACCTTCCCTTTCAGACTACTGAATATTGGAATTACATCTAAAGGGGCCCATACACGTACAAGTCTGGCTCGCGAGTCCAACTCGGCTCGAGTTTCAATGAGCCAAACGGGTCCGTATGTGTGTCGCAAAGTCTGGAGTCAGCTCATGCGTTTATGGTGAAATTAAACCGAGTCAAGCTCGCCGAGCCAGACTCGTACGTGTATAGACCCCTTAACAGATAGACTCTCTCAAGTAGAATTCCAAGACCTAACCACAAACTTAAGGAAAACAGAAGCAGACGTACCGCAAGGAAATGTCTCAGGACCTGTCCTATACCTTATCTATGCAAGCGACCTCCCGACTTCAGACAACTCAACAACTGCTACCTTCTTGGATGTTACAGCAATCTTAGCCACACATGAAAGTCCAGCGATAGCCTCAATGAAACTCCAAGCCACCGCGAAGAAACTTTATTATATGAAACAATGGAGAATTAATATAAATCGAAGCAAATGTACGCAAATTACATTCACCCTACGCAAGCAACCCTGTCCAACAGTGCAAATGGACCATGTTGAACCACCCCAGAAAGAAGTGAAATATCTGGGCATGCATCTCGAAAGAAGACTGGGCCGGGCAAAGCACATCAAAACCAAAAGAAAACAGCTCAACCATCGAAATCCTCCAGCACTTTCAATCCAAGGCCCTCCGACCCATCGGAACGCACCTTGGTACGTAAACAACCACAGGATCCACGAAGATCTCCAAATGAAAACAGTGCTCAGTGAAGTAGAAAAAGTGGAATACCAAATTCTTAAGAACATTAGAAAAGCACACAAATGCACTAGCAGTGAACATGTTAGACAATAGCGAAACTACACACAGACTGAAAAGATACACCGTCCTAACTCTACAAGATACACCTGAGTAAACCCCCAATACAAGCATTCAAATGCTATCTAATTCGAAACAAAAACGCCACTGGGCATAACTCATCCACGAGCCAGTACTTACTGAACATATATATTTACAGCACTCTGCAGATTATGTATAATAAAGGTGTGAAAAAGAGGGGATTTTGGCTCGGGAATAAAGGACTTTCCAGCTGCTATAGGTACGTTATTATATCATGTACTGTACATGTAAACCTGCAAACAATCAGAATATGCTGACAACAGACGGACAATGACTTCGACAAATGTGAGATCTGACCTCTCATCTGAGAGGCCGACCCATATCGGAAAAACCGTAACTGTCTGTCAGTAACCAAGACCAGGTCATGAACCCCAGAGGGGNTGTGAAAACAGCTGGCATTTCTCCTGAAACAATATATGGATAAATGAGATTTATCTTTTATTACCAGGCAACAAATGGAGATTCTTCCATCATTTCGCCTGTAAGTATGTGCAATCGTGAGAAATTGTTTTCCATTTTCATCTCACTCACGAGGCCTTTGCAGAAATGGCCGAGAATGACTCCATATATGATTATGCGAGAACCGTGTAAAGGAATTCAATTTGATATCTGTCATTTTCGCCCAGAAAACGTGGTCAACACCAGACGAATAAGTAGGTTCATTTGGAGGTGTCACCAACAAATAAAAATTATACATTCACCAAGAGTTTAAGAGCAGGTTAAATTCGGAGAATATTTCTAGATGTCGGCACTATTCTGTTTGGTAATGGCGGCAGCACAGCTGCAAGCAGGGGACAGCTGTTTCTGTTCTGGAACTTGTATCGAGCACCAGTCGTTGTTGGGGGCGGAGGAGGTTACTGCCATCATGGATAAGGTGGCTGACGATGTTGCAGTGGGTCCGTGTATAGCAGTTCTCAAGGGTATATTCGACAAAGCAGCTGTGCCGCATTTTCAAGAGACTATAGTGATTCTCTGGAGAACCAATTCGCGAGCCTGTGTTTCCCTCCCCTTTGTGGTCGTGAGATCCGCAGAGGATGACGATACGTTTTCTTGTTGCTCTATCCACCACACCTGTACAAGTTGTGAAGTGTAGACATTGCTTTGCAGGTGAACATACCATCAGCAATTATCCTACCACAGCCCATGGTCCACTGGTGATTTCGTGGGAAGTCCCCAAGGTTCACCAGAGGTACCAATTTTTATCAAGGAAAAGGTATTCGAGCCTTGCAAAGTGGTTCAGTTCAGATTAAAGTGTGGAGCGTTAACCAGAAGACAACAGCATGACCACGGAAGTTGAAGAATCTCCATAGTTAAGATTTGTTGCCAGGAAACGTCTAGTGACTAACTATAATATACAGGGTGTTTCAAAAAGAGCTTTACAACTTTGAAAGCTTATATAAATTTATACAGAGGACATACACAACGTTTTGAACTGTCAGTAGCAAAACACCGAGTTTTACCTTGGATAGTTATGGTTCAGTGTGACTTCCATTGCTAATGCGGCAGACGTCCCACCTGTAGTCAGTCTCTTGCCACACGCTACGTAGCATCTCTGGTGTCTCTTCTGCAACTGAGGCAGTAATTCGAGTTCGGAGCTCGAAATTTGCAGGCAAAGGCGGTACGAACACTCGATCTTTAACGAATCCCCATAATAAAAAATCCAGGGCAGTGAAATCCGGGGAACGAGGTGGCCATGCTATCGGCACCGCTATACCAATCCACCGACCTGGGGAACGGGTGTTGAGGTTCCCACGGCCGTTAATCTGTTTTCTAGACCGGAGCCGCTATTTTCTTGAAATAGCTCGTGAATTATCCACTTGAGGCTGAGTGGACCCCGATTCAGATCCATTACTTATCAGAAAATCTGGTAGCGCCGATAATCGAACCCGGGACCTCTGGATCTGTAGCAGTAACTCTGACCAATAGACCACAGAATATGGCAATAAAGTTGCAAAGTTGTCCCCGTGCTTAACTAATTAAGCACTACACCATGCACATGCATGGGAGCACGAAAGAGAAGTGGACAATGAAGTGGTCACCCCAGAAATTAAGAGTTGTCTGATAATGGCCCATGTGCGGCCGACACATGTTGCAAATTGAAAAAAGATACGTATGTAAAACTACAGACATTCTGAAGTAGTTCAATAGTCAATTTTAGTTGTTAACTTACTATACTTTCAGTGTCTTAATGATATTATATGATATTTACGAGTAATAACATTTTAAACTATTAAAGTTACACTTTTAGTGGAAAACATATTTTAGGTGTATTTCTTATATTTAGAAATAATTGTTGCATTATTGACTGTGTACCTGAATGAGAATGATACATCAATGCAACAGGATGCTGAAATATAATATCAGCAGTTGTACTTGTTTTTGAATGTAGTAATGCAGGTTTGAAGAAACTGTCAAGTTTTGTCTGAACAAGTGCCTCATCTGCCTCCCTACATAAGCATATGTACACAACTGTGAACAGCATTTTTACATTTCGATCCGGACCAACTGTAACCGGATTAGCGGGGTTTCACTGAACGCCGTACTCCCGGTTTATACAAACAGTAATAGTGTTTTGTATGCTGGAACTGTAATGTGCCGAGGCCGCTGGTTACCCATACTTTGGGGGGAGGGTGGAAGGGTCACTTAATATACGTAAGGACCACAGTCAGTGTTTATAATTTACATATCACTGAAAACGCAAACATTCGCCGGCAGCCGGTAAAAGTGGGCGCAAGGAACCGAATGAGACCAGCGGACTGACCCAGACAGAGCGGCTTGTGGCTTGACTGTTAATGGGTTAGGTTAGATTCACAAGATCTAAAGGTTTGTGACGATGGTACTTTGCTACAAGTATTATGTTTCTGTCCTGTTTATTTTTCAAAACAACGTTTCGGAGACTGGATTCTGTCCCCGTCCTCAGGTTAATCCTATTCAGTTGGGTCCAATAGATAGCGCTAGTCCCTATCTCCGGGACTATTATCTTCAATGACTTCGGCTACATCGCACCAGACGAAGTGGAACGGAATTCCTCTGAACAGGAGTATCAGCTTCTCTAGCGCTGCCGAACTTTCGTGTCCCGCCATTGTCGGAGCATGTCATCCTTTTCAGCCTGATATGACGAGCGAGAAAACCG